CTTCCTGGCTGCTGCACACCTGGCCCAGTGCCCACTGTCACTGTGGGACTGGGAGCTGTGGGAGTTCAGGCTGGCTCTTGAAAGGGTGCTGCAGAGCGGCTTGAGCCCCCATGGATGGACTCTGGGTGCTGGGGACCTGGGGGAGAGGGAGAGGGAAAGGGAAAGGGAAAGGCAGAGGGAGAGGAGGCACTCACAGCTCTTCTGCTTGCCCCCAGTTCCTGTGGTGGACATGAAGATGCTGCTCGTGGGGAAGGAGTGTCCGCACACGAAGGAGAAGAGCTCCGGGAAGCAGAACAAGGTCAGCACTTCCCACCCCATGTTGCACAGCCGGTGATGGTTTTTGGTGGCAGGCAGATAGTGGCACGTTGGGTGGTTTCATGGGCAGCAGCAGGTTTTTGATGTGGCTTGAGACCTCTTGGGTTTTCTGGGGTGCAGAGGAGGAGGCTGGGAGGCAGCTCCTGCTCTGAATCCTGCTGGGGCTGGAAAGAGTCCAGCTGAGAAGCTGGCTACCCCCTGTGCTCTCCCCACAGGACGTCCTGGAGCTGGCCTTCTCCATCGTGTATGACATGGAGGAATACTGCCTCAACTTTGTTGCCCCCACCCGGTATGAGGTGAGCTCCAGGACCCACTGGGGAGGCACACGGTGGCCAGGGGTCCTTGCCAGGGGACTGTAGGCGGGGAAGGGAGTCGTGTGTGTGTCCCCAGGGTGGGAGCCACAGGGAGGGTAGAGGGGAGCTCTCTGGCTGCCCAGGGCTGGTGCCAGAGTCACCCGTCCTGTGCTTCCCCAGTTCTGCCTGTGGACAGACGGGCTGAACGTCCTTCTGGGCAAGGAGATGACAAGTGAGCGAACGCAGACGGACCTCGATGTCCTGCTGTCCATGGAGCTCAAACTGCGCCTCCTGGACCTGGAGAACATCAGCATCCCCGACACTCCTCCTCCTGTCCCAAAGCCCCCGAGCAACTTAAACTTCTGCTACGACTTCAGCCACACAGAGCAGTGAGATCATCCCTGTACCCTGTCCCCCCTCTGTGTGTGTGTGTGTCCCCTCCCCGAAATCAAACCCCTTCCTCCAGGCTCTGTCCCTTATCTCTGGCCCAAAGGGACGAGCCCAGGTGCTGGCTGGGGGCTCGGTGTGCGCTGCCTGGCCCTTGCCCATCCCGGGGTGCGGTGCCCACCCTTCCCTGCCTGTGTCCTGCCCTCCTGCCAGAGCATGGGGCTGAGCCACTGCGCGTCAGGCTCCTGTTCGAGGCGGGGTGATCCTCCTGCTTTGCCCCCCTGCCACGGGCAGGCAGGATAAAATACTTTGCAGACAGCCAAACCCCTCTGCTGTGGGGCTGCCCCCACACCCCAGCCAGGCTTTGGGCAGAGAGGGCAAGGATGTGGGCAGGAATAAATGTAGGGGCAGCCCTGGGACAGTTGGAGGGGGGGGCAGCACAACAAAGGTACGAATCTGCACTACCTGACTCTCCTCCCATCAGCGTAGGGGCTCCCTCCTGGGCAAGAGAAGGGTTAGAAAAAGGATAACACGCCTTTTCTGCTCAGTTTGGTGAGCGGACAGCATCCCCAGAGCACGGTGTGCCTGCCCAGCCAGGCCCGTGCT